ACGCAAGCGGAGTGGAGTCGGATTTTCAATGGGACATTGTACAGTGACTGTGCTGTCACTGGATGAGGTATTCTCTCACCCCCACAACCAGGCACGGGGGTCGTTCTTCAAGGACTCTCAGGGGGAAATTAGCCCCCGACCTGCACCCATTCTATCCTGCTCCCTCGCAGAGCCCTGCCACTCCCGGGACCCCTTCATCGGAGAGCACACTCGCTCTGTGCTGAAGGAGTACAGGTTTGAGCAAGCACAAATAGAACAGCTCTTGTCTGCCGGTATCATAGAGTGTAACGAAGCTAAAGCACGTCTATAAATCAAAGATTCTGACTGGAGAATCATTACACTTTGTGGCCAGTGATGCAGCGCGGGAATCTGAGCACTTCAACTCCTCTGTCTCGAGTGTGAGGGGGCATTTCAGAACAAAATTACTCTCCCTTGTGAATCAGTGGGTGCTGCTGTCGAAGTGGACTAAATGATCCTGGACTTTTCAGTTAAAATTTCCAAAGCATTCAACTCTCATTTGTAATTGCTGTGGTGAAAGTCAAGTGGGATTTAATTAAAGGCTGTTGCAAATATTCTGTATTAATCTTAACATCCCTATTTTTGTCAGCAACCTCATTCAACAAAGATATTCAATATTGACTTATTTTTTTAAGACTGTTCTGAATTAATAATAGGATTGTGAGGGCATTTTATTTGTAGTTGATTAAAGTGTACCACTTTTGGTTCTGAATTGAAATCCTTGACTAATAAGTGCCTTTAGCAAGAATAGCTGAGTGTGAGTCATAGCCTAATTAACTGAGTGAAATAGTTGCCTTTGCCTAATTGTTAGGCAGCGCTGATGAGCCAAGATAATGGTATTAGGATAAAACCAATTAATGATTCCGCTTAAGATGAAGTTTTCTGTTGTCATAATATCGCTACTTGTATAAAATGTAACACTTGGTCAACATGGAAGTGGCCTTGTAATAATACAGATAGCTGTTTTATGGCCTGTATTTACTATTTGTAATGGGGTCAGTAAGTTTGGTTTTTGTCACTTAAGGCCAATTCACACTGTACTGACAATGACAACAGACACGTTTGTTGGATCAGTGTGTTAGCCCGTCTGTGTCTGTTAGCATTGGTCAACGTAGGGCTGGGCGATATAGCAAAAAAATGTATCAACGATATAATGTTTTATATCGTTCGGTATTGATAATTATTGACATTTTTTATAACCATTTTTAAAACAAAAAGCAATAGAATTATTTTTTTTTATTTAACCACTGTATTTATAATTGACACAATTTATTGAGACAAACAATATATTTTTTGTTTTAACATTCAAACACAATAAAAATTCAACAAATATCTAATTTCTAATGTTTTATATGCAGATTAAATGGGTCTTTATTGTATAGGTCTAATTGTCTCCCGAGGCCACAGGAGGGCGCAATGAGCAAAATAATGCACAATAAAAATTCAACAAATATCTAATTTCTAATGTTTTATATGCAGATTAAATGGGTCTTTATTGTATAGGTCTAATTGTCTCCCGAGGCCACAGGGCAGCGCATTTAGCAAGTAACTCTATATAAAAAAATGTGCATTACGTCTAAATTAATTCATAAAAATCAAATATAATTTCGTAAATTGCATAAACAATTATGAACAAAACAGCATCATGTATTTATGCATTGCTTAATCCAAAGAGCCGAAGCGCCATTCACACAGACTGCATTTAAAAACATATGAGACTATGAAAAGGAATAAACCTCCACAGATTTGTGACGTGGTTTCTAAAAGTTTAAACTGTTTTAACTTCGCATTACTTTCTATACATCTCTTGTGTGAGACACGAGTGCAGCAGTCGTATTTGTCAGTCTAAAAAATGCGCTGAATGTGTTCTGTGTGAACCCACACGGAATTTCTCTAATATTTTGAATGAATAGCGCAGCAGTGGCGCGTCTCGTGGGCTAGACTAACAAAACATTAAAATGCAACGACGTCACTTACATCATCATCACAGCATCTCGCGCGCCACTGATGACGCTCCCTGACGCACTAACATTCAAATGCAAATGTTTATTTTAAATTCGAATAATATTCATTCTTTATTCACAATCTCCTCATCACAGGCCGGCACAGCACTCATTTCAGCATGTGTTAAATTGTGTGTGCTGTCTGCGTCACTCATAGTACGTGCCTATATTGTGCGCTATATCGAACAATTCTATGGATATCGAAGAAGGTGTACCGTCGATAAATATCGATACCGTTTTATCTCCCAGGCCTAGGTCAGCGCTTATTTTTGCCTATTGAATTGGTGTTTTTTGGGTCTTCAAATGTCTATGAAATGACATACTGTAATCTGGGGACCATTGTATTGGTCTACATATGTTGGTGTGGTATAAATGGTCCCTTATGCTTACCAGGGCTACTTTTAATATAATAAAAACAGTAATATTGTGAAATATTATTGTAATTTAAATTAACTGTAATTTAAGACTGTTCTGAATTAATAATAGGATTGTGAGGGCATTTTATTTGTAGTTGATTAAAGTGTACCACTTTTGGTTCTGAATTGAAATCCTTGACTAATAAGTGCCTTTAGCAAGAATAGCTGAGTGTGAGTCATAGCCTAATTAACTGAGTGAAATAGTTGCCTTTGCCTAATTGTTAGGCAGCGCTGATGAGCCAAGATAATGGTATTAGGATAAAACCAATTAATGATTCCGCTTAAGATGAAGTTTTCTGTTGTCATAATATCGCTACTTGTATAAAATGTAACACTTGGTCAACATGGAAGTGGCCTTGTAATAATACAGATAGCTGTTTTATGGCCTGTATTTACTATTTGTAATGGGGTCAGTAAGTTTGGTTTTTGTCACTTAAGGCCAATTCACACTGTACTGACAATGACAACAGACACGTTTGTTGGATCAGTGTGTTAGCCCGTCTGTGTCTGTTAGCATTGGTCAACGTAGGGCTGGGCGATATAGCAAAAAAATGTATCAACGATATAATGTTTTATATCGTTCGGTATTGATAATTATTGACATTTTTTATAACCATTTTTAAAACAAAAAGCAATAGAATTATTTTTTTTTATTTAACCACTGTATTTATAATTGACACAATTTATTGAGACAAACAATATATTTTTTGTTTTAACATTCAAACACAATAAAAATTCAACAAATATCTAATTTCTAATGTTTTATATGCAGATTAAATGGGTCTTTATTGTATAGGTCTAATTGTCTCCCGAGGCCACAGGAGGGCGCAATGAGCAAAATAATGCAGCGCATTTAAATTGTCAACGCAAGGAAGTAACTCTATAAAAACGTGCATTACGTCTAAATTAATTCATAAAAATCAAATATAATTTCGTAAATTGCATAAACAATTATGAACAAAACAGCATCATGTATTTATGCATTGCTTAATCCAAAGAGCCGAAGCGCCATTCACACAGACTGCATTTAAAAACATATGAGACTATGAAAAGGAATAAACCTCCACAGATTTGTGACGTGGTTTCTAAAAGTTTAAACTGTTTTAACTTCGCATTACTTTCTATACATCTCTTGTGTGAGACACGAGTGCAGCAGTCGTATTTGTCAGTCTAAAAAATGCGCTGAATGTGTTCTGTGTGAACCCACACGGAATTTCTCTAATATTTTGAATGAATAGCGCAGCAGTGGCGCGTCTCGTGGGCTAGACTAACAAAACATTAAAATGCAACGACGTCACTTACATCATCATCACAGCATCTCGCGCGCCACTGATGACGCTCCCTGACGCACTAACATTCAAATGCAAATGTTTATTTTAAATTCGAATAATATTCATTCTTTATTCACAATCTCCTCATCACAGGCCGGCACAGCACTCATTTCAGCATGTGTTAAATTGTGTGTGCTGTCTGCGTCACTCATAGTACGTGCCTATATTGTGCGCTATATCGAACAATTCTATGGATATCGAAGAAGGTGTACCGTCGATAAATATCGATACCGTTTTATCTCCCAGGCCTAGGTCAGCGCTTATTTTTGCCTATTGAATTGGTGTTTTTTGGGTCTTCAAATGTCTATGAAATGACATACTGTAATCTGGGGACCATTGTATTGGTCTACATATGTTGGTGTGGTATAAATGGTCCCTTATGCTTACCAGGGCTACTTTTAATATAATAAAAACAGTAATATTGTGAAATATTATTGTAATTTAAATTAACTGTAATCTGTTTTAATTATTCCTGTGATGGCAAAGTTGAATTTTCTACAGCCATCACTCCAGTTTTCAATGCCACATGATCCTTCAGAAATCATTCTAATATGCTGATTTGGTGTTCAATAAACATTTGTTATTATTATCAATGTTGCAGACAGTTGTGCTGCTCGTTATTTTTGTGGAAACTGAGATACATATTGTTTACCCAAGGATCTTTCATGAATAGAAAGTTCAAAAGAATGGCATTAATTTGGCATGAAATCTTTTGTAACATTATAAATGTCTTCACTGTCATTTTTTGATAAATTTAATGGATACTTGTTTAATAAAAGCATTAATTTCCTCAAAAAAATTAATCTTACTGACCCCAAACTTTTGAACTGTAGTGTTTTTTTGTTTGTTTTTTTATTTAGAAAAGAGATTGTATAGAGCAAGACACATTTTCTTATGCTTGAAGATTGAGGTAAAATCATAATGAATTTGTAAAACAGTTATTAAAACTTGAGAGTTTACACTTTAAAGACTGTTTGGCTTCAAACAATACTTCTCTTGATAACATTCGGAATCATCCTTTCTCAAGTCAAATACTAATAGTAATCCCACAGAATGAGTTGCTGAATGATGTTTCATAACTACTCGAGCCTGAAATCGATTCTCATTCACATAGAGATATGTGTGGAATGTAGCATTTTAATCCACGTGGCACCATCTGACTGGTTCCCTGTGATTCACAGCTCGACCTCTATAGATTAAGTCCAGAGCTGACATTGTAAATACTAGTTTGGAGCTTTATCGTTCAACTATGCAGTAGGAATTAAGCGTTTCAAGACCGACAACTATGACTCTTCTAACCGAGGACCAGCCTTGCAGGTTCTCCGCACCGGACAGCCCACTCGCATCCATGGAGCACTACCCAGTGGACTCAGGGCCAAAAGAGGACTATTTGGACTGCATGGAACCAGCTGTGTTTGGAGCGGTGGAGCCCCCGAAGCACTCAAGAGGAAGGCTTATCATGCACGGCATGGTCATGTTTGGAAGGGAATTCTACTATGCCGTTGAGGCTGCGTTTGTTACGCCGGTGTTGTTGAGCGTTGGACTCCCCAGACATCTGTACAGCCTGGTGTGGCTCATCAGCCCTGTTTTGGGTTTTATCCTACAGCCGGTCATTGGCTCCACAAGCGACTACTGTAGGTCCCCATGGGGCCGAAGGCGACCGTACATACTCTTCCTCAGGATTATAATGTTAGTGGGCCTGACTTTTTTTCTAAATGGAGATGCGGTCACATCAGGTAGGTGCTGATGAAGTAAATGTGATGGATTTGTCCAGATCATGAAATCAGGAGCTACTTGTGTTCAATGCAATTTTAAAAACAGATAGCAAATTATATCTGCTCTTTCTTCACCACTAAATATGTGGTTAGGTTGAAATTTAAAAAGGAAATAATGACCAAGGAAGGAAGGGTAAGCAGATAAAGGAACTGCAAATAATTACAAAAATGTGATTACAATTGTTTTTCTCTTCCACTGTTTTTCACATTAAATGACCAATGAAAATGTGACTCAAAAATAGTTGTGTGTAATTAGACAGGAATATAACAGCTGGACATTGCATGGATTTCTTTTCTTTTTTTTAACCGCGTTAGGGGAGTTTTTACGTATTCCTACCATATTTCGTGTCATATTTTGTGTCATAATACTTCAAATCTAGAATTGTAATCATTTTCAATAAAGGGTGCTTGTTAATTTACCAAGCACATACATTTGAAATACTGAAGAAAACTTCTGTTTTCATTGCTATATATGTGTGTGTGTGTGTGTGTGTATTTGTTTGTTTGTAATTGTGCATAACCTTCCAAACAGTGTGCTTTTTTCCCCTGCTTTTACTGATTCTTGGAGCAAACTGAGAGAAAATATGCAACATATACCCGATAGGTTCTATCTTAACCTGATATAATCACATGATTGTTCACATTTCTTTTCACATCAGCAGCCAATGTGCTTGCTGCTCAACATTTACATACTCGGCTAGTGCTTGCTGTAGCAGTTGCAGTGCGCTTCAGAAACCCTCCACCTTCCCCAGCTCCACCTCTATAGATTTGCTACGGAGTGATTTCATGTATGTTACAAATGGGGGTTATTTCATATATGTTATATGTACAGCAGCAGTTTTTTCTGATCAGCAAATCAGCATATCAGAATGATTTCTGAAGGGTCATGTGACACTGAAGACTGGAGTAATGGCTGCTGAAAATTCAGCTTTGCCATCACAGGAATAAATTAAATTTTAAAATGTTAAAATTGAAAACAGTTACTCTAAATTGTAATAATATTTCACAATATTATTGTTTTTACTGTATATTTGAACCTATAAATGCAGCCTTGGTGATCATAACATACCCCAAACATTTAAACGGTAGTGTTGAAAATTACTGCTATATCATTTCAAAAAAATATAAATATATATATATATATCTTTTAAAAGGTTCACAGTTGTGTAAAATCATCAGATATTACATAGTTGTATAATATTAATACTAGATTTGTCAACATTTATAACAAATATCTAACATGACAGAACATATTATTTTGTATTTAATGGCATTTTGTAAAACTTTATTATTTTTGCAGAACATTTTAACAAATGTATTCAAAATAATTACTTGCTAAAGAAACATTAGAAAACCAGACATTTATTTATCTTATGCACATTATTCCATTAAAAAGGTCATAGTTGGTGTAACAAGACCTAATACATTTTAATTCCATCCTAAAAGGAGAACAACACTTAAAGTAAAAGTACTATTAAAGTACTTTTAGTGCCTTATCTGACTTTTGAAGAAGCATTTTGGTTTTTACAAATAGAGCACATCCCACCGAACCTTTCAGTTGTGTTTGATTTTCTGAGCTTGATTTTTTTTCAAAGCAGTCTGCTGTGTTTCCTTGCAGGTTTAGGTGGAGCCTGTGGATACCTGATTGGAGCCATGGACTGGGGTCACTCTGCTCTTGGTGTCATACTGGGTTCAGAATACCAAGTTATCTATTTTTTCTCATCACTGACCTGGGGCATTTTTCTCACCATGCACCTTTTCAGCATCCCAGAGAAACCACTAATCAAAGATCACAGTTCGGACTCTTGTCCAGCCACGGCTCTGCTCCTGGAGAACACACATCATAACGGCTACGGCGCAGTATACAAAGTATACATATTTTCTGCCCTGAGTGAAGCCAATGCAGTCACACCCAGTATCAAGCAGCCTAGCAGCGAGGTTGGTCATTTGTGTTACCTTGAATCCCTTTCATGTGGCTTTTATTCTTGGCTTCAGCCTGCACCCAATTTCCCCTCACATTTTAATGACTTGTTTCAGACCTTGGAGCATCAGCCTTAGTGAGCTGTAATTAGGCTGGATACCTTTCACAGAAACAATTCCTCGTTTGGTCGATAATGAAAATGAGGACATGCCTTTTCCATTTTATTAAAAATACAACAAATAAGGGTATGTTAAGAGGTCTTTGTGGTGATGTGATGACGTTATGATTACTCATTATGGCCATATTGGGTGTAACTTAATTATGAGGTGTGAAAAATGTACATGGCTCTCAAAGTTCCCACTATTTTATTAAATCATTAAGTATTAAAACAGGCCCAGGTTTACAGTTAAAAATAGTTACATAATATAGCAGGGGATTTTAGACATATGTGTCTCATTATATGGTCGGGTCTACAACTCTGAGACCACTATGAAAATAACTGTTTTGTATTTGCATTAGTACAAAAAAAATAATATTTTCAGCATAATAATTTGAGAAAATTTGAATTAATAGTATAATAATGAATTGTTGTTATTGGTACTGTTCATAATAATAGTAATCCTTTAAAAGTTTAATATGTGTTTATAATTATTATTATTATATAATTGTACAAATAAATATAATAATAATAATGCAAAGAACATCTTGTTTTTCAATGGAAACAATAACATCTTATTGTCTGTACAAGAGTACATACATTTACTTATTTGATTAATGACCTAAAATAGTGCAGAATGTTAAATATTTCTTTTTTTTTCCAGCTGTGTTTTACAAGCTTGTAAACCACATATTTCAGACGTTTGCACCCAACGTCTTATATTATAAGGTAAAAAGAAAGGTAAATCCTACTAATCCTGTCAGTCTAAACCCCAAGTCTCGCAATCATTAACCTCCTACAAACCTCACATAATCTGCCATCTGTCCCTAAGAAAGAGTTCTATTCCACCAAACACTGCTCTTGGACAAAATGTTCAGAACATATAGTTCTTGTTAATGTACAAATGAGAAGGGAGGCTTGTTTCATGGATAGAACACTGGCTTAATTAGGCTGATAAAAGTCTCAAATGAAACTCGAGACTTGAAGGGAAATTGTGTTCAAATTATGGGAGACATCAGTTGCATTTCATGCATGAGTGTGTATAAACACTAAATCAGTACAACAGGCTAAAGTAAGATGCAAAGCGAGAAATGTGACATTGACAAGTTTAATTTTGGCTCTAGAGAAGCATTTTTTTAAAGTCCTTCCTTAAAAATGTCCAGTAAATTTTAAATGAAAATGCATGTATAAATGTATATATAGTACATGATACATACTCCATGCATGCATTATGCTAGTATCTGTACTACTGTAAGTTTGCAAAATTAGTAATGAGTTTCTGACTTTATCTCCATATTCATTATAAGACCTTTAACAAATCATAACACTGTTCATAAGAGTATTAATTCATTCATTTCACACCATTGCCCAACCAATATATATTTATTTTCCATCAGTGAGTCCATTTATTTACAGAGAGATCCCCATCCCTATAGTGATATCACAGTAATGAAAACAACCCTTTGTGGTTATGAAAACATGTCACATCCATATTAATGTTTCCTTAACCTTCGAAGTGTGTCAATTTATTTAAATGTAAAAGTACATTCTTTTATCAAGGTATAATGTGCAGAGTGTGCTATAAGACCTTCATACTTGTTACTGCATGAAGCTGACATGTTTTATGGAAACCCGATGATTCATATGATCACTATGCATTTTGCTATATATATCATAGCTCAATATGCACATATTATGCCATTTTGAATATTACCTTTCATGCAGTGTGTAATGTAGCTGTATATGAATGTAAACAATCTGCAAAGTTGTAAAGCCGAAAGTGCACAATAAATAGTTATTTGTCTCCCAAAAGACAAAATCTGCTCTGAACAGCCGCAATGAGTCGTCAGTGATTCCAATCCCACTTCCGGGACGGCTACATGTTATGGGGTAACACATTTACAAAATGCCCATCTATGTTCTACGTTGGCCGGCCGTGAACAACCCTCAAACACTGTAGCTTGTTCGTGTGGTTAAAATCATGTTGAAAAGATGCTGTGTCCTACACTGTGAAAGTAAATTTGTTTTATTTTCACTTCCGAAAAAGAAATATGGAAGCCCGTTTCTGCCACTGAATAAAAAAATGTAAAAGGTAATTGCGACTTTTTATCTCACAATTCGGACTTTTTTTCTCAAAATTGTGAGTTTAAATCTTGAAATTGTGACTTTTTTTCTCAGAATTGCAAGTTTATATCTTGCGAGTTATAAAGTATAATTTTGAGGGGGGAAAATGTCAGAATTGCGAGATATGAACTCACAATTGCGAGAAAAAAAGTCAGAATTGCGGGATACAAACTCGCAATTGAGTTTATATCATGCATTTCTGAGAAAAAAGTCAGAATTGTGAGATAAAAAGTTGCAATAACCTTTTTTTTATTTTATTTCAGTGGCAGAAATGGGCTTCCATAGTAAGATGAGGCTGCAAAGAATCAGTGCTTAAAATTAATTTTCTCCACTGTAACACAGCAGTACAACCCCAATCTTTATGTGTGACCGCTTCTCTAATTCCGGGAGTTCAACACAGGATTCACAAAACTCTTGCTCTTGAAAGATGGTTCAGAATCCAGTTAATTTGGACCCGCTGGCTCCACTGAATCACAACCTGTATGCATACCAATCACAACAGACTGGGCCATCTGACCAATCAGAGCAGAGCAGGCTCACGGAAAGGATGGGCTTAGAGAGACTGAATCTTAGAACTGCTTCGAACTAATTGTGTGAGAATCGTTGGAAAATGAGGTGATTAAATGCATATTTTGAGAAAACGAATGCGTTTTTTTGACCTTGCATGCATGTAAACCTATTTTAGGAGACTGCCAAAATAATATTAGGAACCTTAAAAATGGCATAATAGGGGCACTTCAAATATTCACAGGTAAGTGTTCATGACCTTGAGTTTTTGAACCTTTCAGTAGATATTATCAGCCTGTGTGCATTACTGTGTTTCAGGTACAGAAGAGAATGACCCTGAAATCTCTACTGTCAGCTGTGATTAGCATGCCCTGCCATTACCGCTGTCTGTGTGTGAGTCATCTGTTAGGCTGGACGGCCTTCCTTTGCAACATGCTCTTCTTCACTGACTTCATGGGGCAGGTGGGTGAATGAGGTATTTGAGTTGTGCTTCGTTTGCACATCCCTATCTTTAAACAGGCTTTTTAGAGGGCTCAGAACAGCCATAAAATACACATGCTGACACTCCTAATGTCAAGTCAAGTCAAGTCACCTTTATTTATACAGCGCTTTTAACAATACAGATTGTGACAAAGCAACTGAACAGCATTAATTAGGAAAATAGTGTCAATAATGCAAAATGACAATAGTAAACACTCATTTTTCAGTTAAAGACAGTTCATCATTGAATTCAGTGATGTCAACATCCAGCTCAGTTTAAATAATATCTTTGCAATCATGTCAACGATAACGCTGGAAATGAAGTGTCCCCAACTAAGCAAGCCAGAGGCGACAGCGGCAAGGAACCAAAACTCCATCGGTGACAGAATGGAGAAAAAACCTTGGGAGAAACCAGGCTCAGTCGGGGGGCCAGTTCTCCTCTGACCAGACGAACCAGCAGTACGGAAAAATCAATATAAGACGTAATAAAACAGACGATGAATAATATTAACAACAATTATTATATGATGCAATCAAACTTATAGCAAAATGTGGTAGTTCTGTATGTTGTTTCAGGGTTGGCATCATCTGAGGTCCTCTGAGGGGTTGGCATCATCTCTTCTCAGGTGTTCTGGATCCAGACTGAAGCTTGTGTAAATCCTAGTTACCACGGGATGTTAATCCCGTGGCAAAAAACAGAGAAACAAATAAAAACATAATTAGCGTAGCTGCTGTTCCAACCAAGCAAAAATGATTTGTTTAACCCAAACTAACGAATAATAATGTGCATTCGATTAGATATAACTGCAGTAAAAGATTATGACTGCAGTAAAAGATTATGAGATGCATTATTTGAATGCTTGGCCAAAGAGATGTGTCTTTAATCTAGATTTAAACAGAGAGAGAGTGTCTGAACCCCGAACGGTATCAGGAAGGCTATTCCAGAGTTTGGGAGCCAAATGCGAAAAAGCTCTACCTCCTTTAGTGGACTTTGATATCCTAGGTACTACCAAAAGTCCAGAATTTTGCGACCTTAGGGAGCGTGATGGATTGTAGCAAGGTAGAAGACTAGTTAGGTACGCAGGAGCTAACCCATTAAGGGCCTTATAGGCAAGTAATAATATTTTGTAACTGATACAAAAAAAATGTAGATCAAGTTTCATCTGGTCTTGTTGAGATATATAGTTGAGTATCATCAGCATAACAGTGGAAACTAATCCCGTATTTCCTAATAATATTACCAAGTGGCAACATGTATATCGAAAATAGCAGAGGACCTAGGACAGATCCTTGTGGCACTCCATATTTTACTGGTGATAATTGAGATGACTCCCCATTTAAATGAACAAGGTGGTAGCGATCGGACAGGTAGGATCTAAACCATCTTAAAGCCTGCCCTTGGATACCTGTATAGTTTTGTAATCGATCTATCAGTATGTCATGATCTATAGTATCGAACGCAGCACTAAGATCAAGTAAAACTAGCAATGAGACACAGCCTTGGTCTGACGCAAGAAGCAAGTCATTTGTAATTTTAACAAGTGCAGTTTCTGTGCTATGGTGGGGCCTGAAACCTGACTGAAATTCTTCATAGAGATCATTTTTTTGCAGGAAGGAGCACAATTGAGCAGACACAACTTTTTCTAAAATTTTAGACATAAAAGGAAGATTTGAGATGGGTCTGTAATTAGCCAGTTCACTAGGATCTAGTTGTGGTTTCTTAATAAGAGGCTTAATGACCGCCAACTTGAATGTTTTTGGGACGTGACCTAAAGACAACGACGAGTTAATAATATTGAGAAGCGGTTCTTCTGCTACAGGTAACAACTCTTTCAGTAATTTAGTGGGTACAGGATCTAACAGGCATGTTGTTGGTTTAGATGCAGTAATAAGTTTATTTAGCTCTTCCTGTCCTATAGCTGTAAAGCACTGCAGTTTATCTTTTGGTGCGATGAATGAAGCTAAAGTATTATACGCTGTAGAATCTACATTTGCTATTGTATTTCTGATGTTATCTATTTTATCAGTGAAGAAATTCATAAAGTCATTACTATTAAACTGTGCGGGAATATTTAGATCGGGTGGCGTCTGGTTATTTGTTAATCTAGCCACTGTGCTAAATAAAAACCTAGGATTGTTTTGGTTATTTTCTATGAGTTTGTGGATATGCTCGGCCCTGGCAGCTTTTAGAGCCTGTCTATAGCTGGACATACTGTTTTTCCATCCACGCAATTCTAAAAACTTTCAAGTTAGTTTTTCTCCATTTGCGCTCAAGACTACGAGTTTTTTTTTCTTGAGAGAATGGGTATTACTGTTGTACCATGGCGCAGTACGTTTTTCTCTAACCTTTTTCAATTTGATGGGGGCAACAGCTTCTAATGTATTAGAGAAGATAGTGCCCATGTTGCTAGTTATTTCGTCTAGTTCATGTGTACTTATTGGTACACAGAGCAGTTGAGATAAATCAGGCAGGTTATTTGTGAATCTGTCTTTGGTGGCTGGAACAATAGTTCTGCCCGGACGATAACGCGGAGCCATATAGTTAATATTAGTAATACGCAGCATGCACGATACAAGGAAATGGTCAGTAACATCATCGCTTTGAGGTATGATATCTATATCAGTAAGATCAATTCCATGCGATATAATTAAATCTAGCGTATGATTAAAACGATGAGTGGGCCCGGTGACATTTTGCTTTACTCCAAAAGAGTTTATTAGGTCAGTAAACGCAAGTCCTAATGCATCATTTGTATTATCAACGTGAATATTAAAATCTCCGACAATTAGCGCTTTATCAACAGTAATCAATAGGTCTGAGAGGAAATCTGCAAATTCTTTTAGGAAATCTGTATACGGCCCTGGTGGTCTATACACAGTAGCCAGAGCAAGAGATACGATAGATTTCTTTTGCATATCTGACAGTGTAACATTAAGCATTAGTATTTCAAATGAGTTAAACCTGTATCCTGTCTTCTGAGTAACATTGAGAATATCACTATATATTGTTGCAACACCGCCGCCACGGCCAGTCTGACGGGGCTCATGCTTATAATAGTAGCTTGGTGGAGTAGACTCATTTAGACCAATATAATCATTAGGTTTTAGCCAGGTTTCAGTCAAGCAGAGTACATCAAAACGATTATCTGTGATCATTTCATTTACAATAACTGCTTTGGGTGAGAGTGATCTAATGTTTAGGAGCCCAAACTTTAAAAATGGTTTTTGTTCATTTATTTTAAATTGTTCTGGTTTAATCACGATCAGATTTTTTCTAGATCCTGCATTAAATTTATATTTTGACCTCACTATTCGGGGAACAGACACAGTCTTTATAGATTGGACAGCGCAAGTACTTCTATCATTTAAGCGGGTAGAACACAAGTCATCAGGGCAGTTATTTGAGATTTGACTTACTAGTCACATGGAGCGCAGCGTCCTGGAGATGTTGTCCGACATGAGCTCCGCCCCGACTCTGCTGGGATGCAGACCATCAGCGCGAAACAGCCTAGGACGCTCCCAGAAAAGATTCCAGTTATTAACAAAGAGCAGTTTCTGTTCTTTACACCATGACAATAACCATTCATTTAAAGCAAAAAGCCTACTGAACTTTTCATGTCCTCTTCGATACGTGGGAAGCGGTCCTGACACGATGATCGTCGTTGCGGGCGATGTGCGGCGCACCGTCTCGATCAGGCTCCTGAAGTCCCTCTTCAGCGTCTCCGTCTGCCGCAGCTTGGTGTCGTTAGCCCCCGCGTGAAGCACGACCGCTCCGGGGCTCTCGTCACCCTTCAGGATCGCGGGTATCTGCGCAGAAACATCGAGAACACGAGCACCAGGGAAACAGTGAGTGTGCACTTTACCTTCGGCTAACGTAGCACGGATGTGCCGGACGATGGAGTCTCCGATGATCACAGCGTCGCGTTCCGTCTCGCGTAGGGGAGCGAAGCGGTTCCGGGTGGAGATCTCGAAGACCGGAGGCGGCGGGGGGGGAGAGGTCGTCGCCCGGGACCTGGCTCGTGTCTTCCGCTGCGGCTGCACCCAGGGTCCGTGGTGTCCCGGCGCCGGAGTGAAGGACATCTGGGAAGATCGCGTCCTGGGTGCACCGGGCCTGTGCAGAGAAACACACGGAGTAGAGGTGGTGGGAGAGATAGCAGCGCGCTGTATACTTACCTCGGACTTGTGAGCGTCAGCCTGGGATGTTTCCAGCGCGGCTCTCCGCGCTCTCAGCTGGGTCTGCTTTACCACCAGGTCCCGGATCTGCTTCTCCACGGCCTCCAGCTCGACCTGCACCGAATGCATCTCGAACGTGTCCTCACCAGCACTCAAAGGTAGACACACATCCGCCATTAAAGCAAGTAACAGTGAGTAAAACAATGGTAATGTGTGTGAATAGAGTATTAGTGTAAGCGAGATTAGCGGCAACCACGCTGGCGATGCTAGCGGGCTATATGCTAATAGCGGACTCGAAAGTCAAAAATAGTAGTGCTAACAAAGCGCTCTGATTGTTTTTGTTGTAGAATACGATAGGGGATATATTCACACGTTATAAAACTGAAAAAGGATGGAGTATAAAATTGATTTTAAGATAAAAAAATTAGACGACAAAGAATTAACTTGACGGAGCTCAAACTCAAACCACACGGCAGCGAAGGTAATGCGAATAGTGTGCACCACACTAATGTTAGTGCACTACAGTCTAGTGCCTTCAACTGAAATCCCTGACCTACCGACTAACAGTTGTAGGTAAATACCACTTGATCTATTCTTGAGTGCAAAAAATAGTGTATGCAAAAGCATATTGTTCAAAAGTTTGGGGCCGGTAAGATATATATATATATATATTTTTTTTTTTTTTTACAAAAGCAGTCTATTTTGCTCACCAAGGCTTTGTTTATGTGATAAATATGTGATATGAATAAATAAAAGAAAGTTATCATCATATTTCTAGCATTTGTCTTTATTCATTTACCAAACCAAATAGATTTGATTTTAGTACTAAAGTACTTTAGAAAGAGTAGCATTTTGAAACTGAAAAATAGATCAATGGATGCTTTGATTTGTGGTTAAAAGGTAGCATAGTTCCTTTATCTTTATCTAAGCCACAACTGGCGTAGTCAGAGTTGAATTGAGATAAATGAGTCTCCTTGTAGGCAGCAAGGCTAAAGTATAGAGAAAGTTGTTCTGCTGACCTCAACAAGGTGAAAAACGTTGAGGGCAATGACTGGCCATTTCACCACTGATGAGGTGAATAGATATAAACTTAACGGGCTGTATGAGAACATGATTAGATCTTCACTGTGTAATAGCAGTAACAAAAGGCATGATGAATTTAAGAAGATGCCATCTTTGAAAGCTGAGGGTCATTAAAGAAACGGTATGAACCGTATGACTTGTGCATGAACCTTATTGAAGGCTAGTTTGTGGTAAGAGTTATAAAACTCTCAGTAGCCTTAAAACCAACCCACAAGACCACAGCAGAGCAGAGGATGCTGTCCTTTTGAATTTCCACGTGGTGTCTGAATGGAAAAAGCCTTGTGATGTTCCTGAACTTCACTTGAGTAGAATAATGTAAGCAGATACACCTGTGGAGAGGTTTTCTGGCTTTGTACTTAGTGTTTTTACCCCATTTGACAAAAGATCACCTAGGATGTGATGTTGTCACATGCTTTATCTTATGTTACATCCCTGGCATCTGTCTATACATTTATAGATTGTATATAAGGGGAACCCCTATGCTGAACACAATTCCACCTCCTATGCGACGTATGAGAGAGGGGTTGAAGTGGGATGCTGGGGCCTGTGCATCAACGCTGTCTCCTCTGCGCTCTATTCATGCGAGTAATATTGAACCATGACTCAACTGTTCATTCTTCCTGACTTTATCAAACTGCACTTTCTTAATGCATCCAGACAAAAGAAAACTGTTCAATTACAGTTTGATAATACATAAAGATTTCCATATGTGTCCATCCAGATGTGCAGAGGCTGCTCCTGCCATATATTGGCCTGAAGGGACTGTACTTCCTTGGCTACTTTGTGTTTGGTTTGGGAACCGGTTTGATCGGCCTGTTTCCAAACATTGTGGCCCCACTGACGCTGTGCAGTGTATTTGGAGTCATGTCCAGCACTCTCTACACCAGGGGTGGCGAACTCCGGTCCTGGAGAGCCCTGCAGAGTTCAGCTCCAACCCAAATGAAAACTCACCTGCCTGTATCTTCCTAGTAACCGTTCAGACCTTGATTAGCTTGTTCAGGTGTGTTTGATTAGGGTTGAAGCTAAACTCTGCAGGGCTGCGGCTCTCCAGGACCGACGTTCGCCACCCCTGCTCTACACCATCCCATTCAATCTCATCTCAGAGTACCACAAGACTGAAGAGGTCAGTTTTAGACTGTTAGGACAGGACATTTATAAACCGCTATATATATACGTCAAAGGAACTGCCTGAAGAGCTCAGAGACAGAATTGTGGCAAGGCACAGATCTGGCCAAGGTTACAAAAAATTTCTGCTGCACTTAAGGTTCCCAAGAGCACAGTGGCCTCCATTCCTTAAATGGAAGACGTTTGGGATGACCAGAACCCTTCCTAGAGCTGGCCGTCCGGCCAAACTGAGCTATCGGGGGCGAAGAGCCTTGGTGAGAGAGGTAAAGAAGAACCCAATGATCCCTGTGGCTGAGCTCCAGAGATGCAGTTGGGAGATGGGAGAAAGTTGTAGAAAGTCAACCATCACTGCAGCCCTCCACCAGTCGGGGTTTTATGGCAGAGTGGCCCGACGGAAGCCTCTCCTCAGTGCAAGACACATGAAAGCCTGCATGGAGTTTGCTAAAAAACACCTGAATAAGATTCTCTGGTCTGATGAGACCAAGATAGAACTTTTTGGCCTTAATTCTAAGCGGTATGTGTGGAGAAAACCAGGCACTGCTCATCACCTGTCCAATACAGTCCCAACAGTGAAGCATGGTGGTGGCAGCATTATGCTGTGGGGGTGTTTTTCAGCTGCAGGGACAGGACGACTGGTTGCAATTGAGGGAAAGATGAATGCGGCCAAGTACAGGGATATCCTGGACGAAAACCTTCTCCAGAGTGTTCAGGACCTCAGACTGGGCCGAAGGTTTACCTTCCAACAAGCCAATGACCCTAAGCACACAGCTAAAATAATGAAGGAGTGGCTTCACAACAACTCTGTGACTGTTCTTGAATGGCCCAGCCAGAGCCCTGACTTAAACCCAATTGAGCATCTCTGGAGAGACCTAAAAATGGCTGTCCACCAACGTTTACCATCCAACCTGACAGAACTGGAGAGGATCTGCAAGGAGGAATGGCAGAGGATCCCCAAATCCAGGTGTGAAAAACTTGTTGCATCTTTCCCAAAAAGACTCATGGCTGTATTAGATCAAAAGGGTGCTTCTACTAAATACTGAGCAAAGGGTCTGAATACTTAGGACCATGTGATATTTCAGTTTTTCTCTTTTAATAAATCTGCAAAAATGTCAACAATTCTGTGTTTTTCTGTCAATATGGGGTGCTGTGTGTACATTAATGAGGAAAAAAAATTACTTAAATGATTTTAGCAAATGGCTACAATATAACAAAGAGTGAAAAATGTAAGGGGGTCTGAATACTTTCCGTACCCACTGTATATATATATAAATGTGTGTGTGTGTGTGAATACTTGATGAATGAATAATACTTTTATTCAGTAAAGGTGCATTAAATTGATTACAAGTTACAGTAAAGACATTTATAAGCCAAAAGGTTATGTCAAATAAATGCTGTTCTTTTGAACTTTCTGTTCAAAGAATCTTAGTGATATTTTCCAAAAAAAACATTAAGCAGCTGTTTTCAGCATTGATAATAATAAAAAAAAGTTTCTTCAGCAGCAAATCGGAATGATTTCTGGAGGATCATGTGACATAGAAGACTAATGTAATGACTGCTGATATACAATATACAATATATAGCTTGCTTGTGGTTGTGTAGAAGTAAATTATTATTATTATTTTTTAAATAATTGAATCTAATGCAAAGATATAAATGCTTATCAGTAAGGGCTAGTGTACATTCAGCCAGTCATCATAACAAACTAAACACTGACAGGATAATCAGGACCCTTATGTGAAGATGGTGGGTATTTTATCATCCTGATGGTGTTTATTTTGTGATTAAAAAAACATCTTACTAAACATTATTCAACTTATTGCATGGACACTTAGCAAATATGTAAAAACATAAAGCTCTTATACTGATAAATATTTATTTGAATTGAAATTATTAAATTGCTTTGTAGAGCTGGTGGAGAGACAGTAGATGAGCAAACATAAGCTAAGAAACATAAGTTTCCCCAGATGAGTTCAATAAGAACATTTCTTAATTCAAGATAGTACTTCACTTGTTTTAAACATAGATTTTCACTTTGGTTAGCCTCTATCTAAAACCCATTAAAGCATGAAGTTGCAAGAAAACCGAAAATCAAATTACAAATCTAAATCAATCCCTGAAACGCAGACTGAATTATAATCAAAATGTTGATTAAATCCTGCAAATCCAACTTGGCTTGTTACTTACATTTGAATGATTGTTATGTGTTGGTTCACAGAGCTTGAAATTGGCTTAGAAGTCATGAACATGCTGTCTTAAGTGTCAAAGAGCAAACACAATGCTCTCTGCAAGGCTTCGATCTATAGATCCACTGATTTCACTATATTATTTTTCTCACATTTTGTTTTTAAACAAAATTAGATTTAAGACAAATTATAAACGAAAAGGTGTCATTTTATTATTGCTTGGACAAAATGCTGCACTTTTCTTGAAATATGTAAAATAACAAAACTAAAACAAAAACCATCTAAACTTTTCTAAAGATGGTCAGTTCCCCTCAGAGATAAATTCATATAAACTCCCACCATCAAATGTATCGCGATTTGTTTAACATCTCAACCGATTTGAATTTGACACATATTTGAATTAATGTTCAACAGGCTGGCTGTGCATCCTTATAGCCCTACTTTTCAGATGATAGAAACATCTCTCTTTTTTTTGCAATGCTGTATAGATGTTTTCTGATATTTTAAGTCCATGTGCAAAACATTTGTCAAGGATTTAGCCTTTTTCTCATGCAAAGCATCTGTCTTGTCAGAGGTGCAAAGGAAATTGGGCAGTGATGAACCAGCTCTTGAGGGCCGTGGCACTGGCATGGACTGCGCAGCTCTTACCTGCATGGTGCAGCTAGGTCAGGTCATAGTGGGAGCTGGTCTTGGAGCCCTGGTCAATCTAGCAGGCAGTGTGATTGTGGTGGTTCTCTCTGCCTCAACAGTATCCCTAATTGGCTGCCTCTTTATAGCTCTCTTTATGTGATGTACAGATTAAGCCTCACATATACACCCTTTCTCTATTTCATATGGTCCATCTCCTCTATTCACTGAGATAGAGCAGGAAAAAGACACATTTTGTGGGTACTGTGCCAGACTACTGTGCTTGACTGTTCACTGATTCCATTAAGTCTTTCTCTGTGCACTCCAGTTCACATGCCACATTCTAAAATAACAACCTTCATCATCAGTCAGGTTGAAAGAAAGATTATATGTACACAAAGAACATTTGACAAAATTGCATGGTTTGGATGTTTTGTTTATGCATGTTCCTTGCTCTTTTGAGATGAATTGTTTTTGAGAGAATTAATATTATCATGTCCACTGTCAAACTCCATATAATATTCATTTTAAACAAAACAATGACTGGATTCGAACCTTTCAGATTTACAGATATAACTGTTGGTAGCGAGCTGAGCCTCAGATGTAAAGTGTTTCAGCTTGTAATTATTTAAATTATACCTTTTTATATACATTTAATTAAGACAAACATCTTTATGCGGGTGGTGTTAATAATTTTTTAATCTGACGACAAAGTCGGACATATCAATAAAATCAAACATAAATAACTGACAAGATTTACATAGTCACAGTTCACATGTAGGCCTATGACGATAACACACCTTCTTAATGATCCACATGATGTTCACCCTGCTGCAAAAACATCTTAAACCAGCCTAAGATGGTTTGCTGGTCTTCACTGTCTCCTAACCTTGTCAGGCTAGTAAACTGGCTGATTTTGGAGAATTTTTTAAAAAATTTTTTAGAGGATTTAACTTCAACCCATCACTGGCTGATGTAAGATGTTTATTAGCAGGGTAATGGTTTGCTTTGGGTAATTGTTGAACAAAAATACATATTTGTACCTTACTGTGAATAAATAGGTGAATATAAATCCGGTATTGTTGACACATTCATGGTTTAAAAAAATGCAAACAATGCAAATGTATTATTATTTGTAAACCAACTGATACATTATTAAAGTAGAATTAAAATATAATTCAATTAGAATCAAATTCGAATTAAATATGAATCCACGTTGTGCCTCTGTGAATAGGCTCTAAAAGGTTTTAATGAATACAAAAACTTGCCTTTCTAATTAGATTGTTTTCACAGTTCCAAATTAGAGTATGAGCAGGGCAGAGTAGAAGTTGAACAGGGAGCGAAGTTAAAGGGCTTCTCACTAGTGAGAGGGTGAAAATGTAAAACCCGGAATGGATTTCAGCGTTTAGAATGGGGAGGATCCCTTCCACTTCTGCAAGGTGTTCCAAACCGGAACTCTTTCAGTCTGCGCATTGGTTTAGTTGGAGGGGGGAGAAAAACAAAATCGTACAAACTAATTAATTTGCCATTTTGTCTGAGTCTGAAACATTTCCCATCAACTTCACAACTTCGCGTTATGTGCTGTTAGGCAGAGGGTCGTTTTTGCCGTTATACATGACAGCCCCCGGAGGATAAAAAATAAGCGCTGGCTCCGCGGGGCTGAGCGGAACCAGTACTGGACCGTGTTCATCCTGCTCGGGCTTCGTGGACGCGGTAAACGGTCTCATGTTCGTCTCAGAAGGCGATGTGATTTGCCAAAACAGCTTTTTCAACGCTTTTCTGAATTCCCTTCTCATCAGACAGTACAGAATGGGATTGAGACAACTGTTTGAATGAGCCAAACATACTGTAACTGGAAAAATATACACTTGTGTGGTGTAATACTCGTAACTGAAGTGCACTACATTGAGTTTTATTAAGATTCCCCACGCTGTTAACGCCTGATTCGGTAGCCAGCACAGGAAAAAAGACAAAACGACGATAGTCACAGATTTAGTCACTTTTGATCGCCTCTTAGCACTGGAGGTGTTCACGTTTTTGTTAGTTATGAAGCGTAGGAGAAGCAGGTAACAGACAGTGATTATTACGAACGGAATGAGGAACCCCAGAAGTACTTTTTGCGCTTGATATAACCCCAGCCAAAATTGCGCATCTCCACTCCGGTCGGGAAATTTCACCAGGCACAGTTCTTCGTTGGATACCGTGGCGGTCGTTGAAAATATCGCGTT